CAACACTTATTTGGTAATTGCTTACTATGTGTACAGTCCAGTCAGTTGACGTCTATATGCTGATCATTCAGAAAGTAGAAAAACATTTCGAAAAGGATCAAAGAAGGAAAAAGTGAGGTAAAAAACGAGAATACTAATCAGTACTTGGCAACTTGATCTCATGGACAACAGCGTTCAATCTAATGAGACTGCAAAATCCCTCCTTGGGATCGAGCAATCCAATGTTCCAAGCTCTACATTCATGATATTTAATTCCCCTGGATCTCAGAATCAACTTCAGGAAACTACAGAGAGTAAGGACTCTGCAGATATCGAGGATGTGAGTGCCATATTTTCATTCAGTAATATACATTTTTGACATTCATCTCATGCATGTTTTTGTTTCTCAATTGTGATCATTTTATAGCTAGATTTTCTTCATTTTATATTTTTTTACAAGTTGAAACAAAAATGGTAATTTGTCACCGATATCTAATGTGTAAGGAAAAGAAAGTGGTCTGAAGAATCAAATAGGGCGCATAAAATTCTGACAGGGTTCAGAATTACGTTCATCAAAGAAAGGCATTATAAGTCAAAAGAGGCGGTCAGGGTTATGTCCTAGAAACTGGAGGCTTGAAATATAATATATTATCAGTAACTATGTTTCAGTACCAGTAGAATTGGTTCAGTTCTGTCCTGAAGCTTCCCGTTCTCACATTTGCACAAACTGCACATCCATAACCTTATTATTTTGTGTCACTTTTCATAAATCCTTTTGCTGTAATCCATATGTCCATTATTACTTTCAGTTTAATGGAAAAAATAAAAGAAACCAATAAAACAAGCATGTATTGTTAACTAGAACATTTGTTCTACTCATTCAGAACATAAGTTCATGGTTAATGTTACAAATGAAGATGCATCACAAAACTGCTTTTTTTATTTCTGTTTTTGACTAGACAGGTTTCATCATTGATAATTCTTACTACATATGCTTTTGTACTCTAAGAATCTGAACACATAGAGAATGGAGATTCACCACATGTTTATGATATCTGTATGCATTTACATTGATAGGGATAAATAACAAGATTTCATTGTCTGTAATATGGTTTGTTGTAATTTTCATCTCCAATTTGGAATCTATCAGTGTACTCTCCTTTAAACTAGTTGTCATATGTCAATATAAGTGTGTTGTATTAAAAGTTTAAACCTCTCCATATTTTAATGTCTGACCACAGTTTATCTGCAATAGTTATGATTTCTAAAGTGGTGGTACATGCTCTGATATCAAAATAGTTTTCATTGAGCTCCATGAAAATGACAATGTTGAGGAAATAAAAAAGAAAAGAAAGTAATATATAAGTGAGTGGTAAGGAGAAGTCATTAGTTGCAATATACAACAGCTTTTGAAAGATGGAGGTTCTAAAGAAAAGATAATTGACACCTTAGAGAACCATTGAAGGTTAGATTAGAGAGATACTTCAGAAAAGAAAGCTCTGATTAGAAGCTTAGAACCTCCATTGTTATCTCTAAAATTCATCCATCAGCATTTCATCCCTACTCTTCTTCATGTTCATAAACATTAAAGTGCTCTAACAATAACTTATGACTTGAAGGGGGTAAACACAGTTGTTAGAACTAAATATGAACTAAATACCTGGTCGTTACTTGTGTGTGTCTTCTTCACTTATGTATCAATAGTTCAAAGCTCATTTTGGAGAAATGGCGGACCCAGCCTACTTTAGACCGAATCTTAGGTAAAATGTTACCATCATGAGGATAGGATGAAACATAAAAGATGAGCGTTTAGATGCTGGAAATACATTCTATGTTTTCAATCATTACCATATCTCTCCATTTGGCACCTATATTAGATTATTGTCGCAGATTGGCAGCCAGTTTTAGGTAAATACTTCTCCTAAATCTTCTTGACATTCAGCTGTGCTACATGGCTATCCATATCATTGTTGGGGTATGAATTTGACAATTTACAATGATGTGACATCTGCATAGAGCCATAGACAATAAATTTGCTCCAGTTATGGTAGGAACGTTATGTGCAAAGTGATGTGGGTCTCTGTTACAAGGACCAGGTCTTATAATTTGTAGCCACAATTCTCTTGCCACTTTCCTTTTCGATTTATTTTCCCCCTTATTCAAGAATGTCATAACTGAAGCTACAAACTGTGATATCTGGTTTCTCAATTTCAAAATTTAAGCTTGAGCTAAAAATCTTCTGCTACCTCCATGCTCTACATAAGTGTTTTGTTCTGATTGTCTACGAATTTCCAGCTTTTCTGCCTTTTACAATTTTTCACCATTCTCTATTTCTGCAGTGCTATTCATGTGTATGATTTTTTTCTACAACATATTGATGTAGGTAAAAGTCTGTGATATTTGTGGAGATCCTGGTCTGGAAGAGTTACTTGCTATCTGTAGTAGGTGTAGTGATGGTGCTGAGCACATGTGAGTTCTTTACTTTTCTGTATGGTATATTTGAACTATTAACTAATGGCTTGATTTGTCTTAAGGATATGCACTCAATTGTTCGTTTTTAACCAGATATTGCATGCACAAAAAATTGAAGGGGCTTCCAGAGGGTGATTGGTTATGCGAAGAATGCAAGTTTAAGGAAGAAACTGCAAATCAAAATGTTGATACAGTGAACGACACTTTATCAGAAGCTTTAGAAGTTCATCATTCGACAAAAACTAGTCAAAATATTAAAAATGATTTTGATCCTAACTGTTTGCCTGAGTTAGATGCTAAAGCACTTAATTTAGAAGAAAAGGTGGCCCATGAAAGGCCCCAAAGTCCACAAATCTCTGCTAAGAGGGAGGAAAGCAACTTGAAGGTTGATTTGAAAAATAGCGAAAGGGTTCCACAATCATGTGGTATCTCCTCTTTGAGGACAGTTGATGCCAAGAACAAATTGTGCTTATCGCATGAAAGTTCATTACACATCTTAGGTGCTGATAAATCAAATCAAATAAAGCCATTGGCATCATATGGAGGTCAATCTGTGAATAATTCGTTATTTTCTCGCTCACAAACCTTTTCAGGTTATAACTCAAGTAAGATATCTGATATGCTTCCATCATCATGGGGTAAGCACAATTGAGCAATTTTAATGTTTATGCCCTTAAGAATCTATATACATATTTAGTTTCTAATACTTGTACTTCTTGATAGGGCCTCTATCAAAGACGGTTTCATTCAAAAATTCCAATATGAAGCCGAAAGTTCAGTTTATTGAAAGTATGCCTTCTCATAAACAAATTATGAGCAAAGAATCCAATGATTCAAGAAAAGGACAGATAAAAAAATTGAGCAAACCTCCATCTTTCAAAAGCATTACACCGAGCTGCTCCCATGCTGAGTCTATAACTAAAACCCAACCCGTTCACCCTTCAGTGCCTTCACAGGCTGAAGATCTTAGAGGTCGTAGAGAAAAAAGTGTGGTAGAAAAGAAAAGTGCTATCTTGGAACCCCTACCTGTCAATCCTACATCCGTGGCCAGCGTTGGCAATCTGCATGTGAAGGATGCCCCGGTTGAGATTATATCTGAATCAAAAATTCTGGACATTCATAGATGTTCACATGACAAAAATAATGTGGGTAAGATTCCTTTTTCCTGTCGGCATACTCTTACTCTACTCTCTTACCTTTTTCCTGTCAGCATACTCTTACTCTACTTGCATTTCTGATTTTTTTTTCAGTGCTATTGCTTAACTTTTTTTTTCTTTTCTTGTATTTAATTAGGATGTAATGATGGGAAGTGGTCATACATCTTGAAAAGTTTTGGACGATCATCCTCGAATTTAACTTCCCAAAAGCCATGCCAACCTGCCTTGAAACAAGATATTCATGAGATTTTAGGTGCTGCTGATAAATCATGCAGTATTCCTAATGCAACCTCTCAGCGAACTGTGCCTCAAGTTGTAGAAATCTTGCATGGGAATGACAAAGTCAAAGATACAACCTTTTCGGGTATCTTACAGCAAGCTGCTCCAGTTGTTAGTGGATTACTACGATGTAGAAAATGTAATGAAACAGGTCATCCTACACAGTTTTGTTCAATTTACAAACTCCCTGTTTCTTCACTTAAACCTTCAGTTGGTCAAAATACAAGAGATCTTCACAACAAAAGTAATGACTTAAGAGATGCTGCAGAAGCACCTATTTTGAAGTCAACAATACAAAAAGATATTAGATTGCCAGATCATCCGGATAAATTATCTATGCCTAGTGCCCGTTTGGGCTATAAAGTACCTTCCAATGATACACCATTAGGTTCTTCTAGCTTTCTTCATAACTCAGCTCATCAGGAGAGGATTCAGGGCCAAGATGTTATAAGAAACAGGATGGGTGATCCTAGCAAGATAGAAGCTTCAGGTAATTTGAATGAGGAAGTTGTTCAAGCCTCATGTGCTCCTACAGAAATTAAGTTTCATCCGATTGTTACCATTTCAGATCAGTTGAATACAAAGTTTTCACCACATGTTGTGCCCACTACAGCTTCTGTTCCAGCAGATGTACTAAGATCTTCAGCGATTCCACAGCTTGAGTCCATCTGGCAGTAAGAACTTTTCGTGGTGCAACTCTTAGTTCTGTCTTATAGTGGAGGATTTTATTACGTTTTCCAATGTATTTGTATTTGGTAGTTTATGTTGAACTGTTTCATTGTCCTAATCTTTTCTCCTTTAACTTGCAGAGGTGGTTTCGAGGTGCTAAGGTCTGGAAGAGTTTTCAAATCCTATGAGGGGGTTCAAGCCCACTTGTCAACTTACGCATCACCAAAAGTTCTTGAAAAGGCAATCAAGTTTCCTGGCAAAGTCCATCTAGAAGAAATAACTTATCTGAGCTCATGGCTTTGTCAATATCAGGGACATAGCCTAGGCGAACACAATATTGCACTCTTTTTCTTTGCTAAAGATATGGAGAGGTTTGTTTAATATTTTCATTGAAGGTCTGCTTGTTACTAACATTGCATGATGCAACCTCTAATTTTCTTTCTGTTGGTTTTGATATAGTTATGAAAACTCTTATTCGAAGCTGTTGGAAGACATGATTAGGAATGATTTGGCCCTCAAAGGAAACATTTCTGGAGCTGAACTTCTTGTTCTCCCATCAAATAAATTACCACAGAACTTCCAGCGTAAGAGTCCTGTCTTTAAAATTGCATTTTGATCTGCTAATACTCGTAATTGCCAATCTATCGGCTCTGCAGATGAGAATTAGGAACTTTTAAGATTATACCATTCTAGCCTGCTAAATATTCTTGTTATTTCTCTCCTCTTTCAGGTTGGAATAGGTTGTACTTTCTATGGGGTGTATTCAAGGGGAGGAGGCCCAACTGCTCAAAAACCATGCTTCAGTTACAGGATAAGCCTTTGGAGGCCAGCTTCAATTTGGAAACATCAGTTCAAGATTTGCCTCTCCCTGTTCCTGAAGCTTCTCAATCCCAGAAATTAAATTGTAATGTGATTCCATATGGGGAAATGCCAACTTGTTATAAGGTTAATGAGGTGAAAGAAGTTGGATCTGTTATCTGTGAGAAATTTCCATCAAGTTCACCTCCAGGTATTGAGGACCTTCCTTGCCTACGGGTCTGCTCTAGTATGCTGCTTGTCAGAATGTATGAGCAAGGTTCTATGCTTACAGATTTTTCTTTTCGTTCTCCTGAATCAGGTTCTCGAATGAATGCCATCCTTTCATGCTCTGGAGCAGAAAACAAGGTCAGGGCCCTACTAAAAGGATCTTACATCTCTTTAGGCACAAAGTAACAATGTGCCTTTTGATGATTTTTACACAACCCTCTGAAATCTTATCTAGACAACTATAATAATCTTGTCAATTTGAAATAAACCCAAAAATCTTTTAAGTGACAAGCTTCACACACATATGCACACACATCCATACACGCACACGCATGCACGCAGTCACCCTGTTAACTCATTGTTGAGATAAGAGGACAGTTGCACTACAAACCATATTCTTTTATTTCTCTTGTTTAAAACCCTAATTCTCTAATTAGTTACCAAATGGACCCTTGGGACTCTAAAACCTAATTTGAACATCTAAATTATAGGTTGAAATTGAGAAGATATGATTTTTAGGGATTTGTTGTGAACATTGTGTTAGGAAGATTATATTTTGGGAATGGGTTTATGAAAGAAACTAGAGGAGGTGAAGCTAAGATGAGATGGCTGTTGAGCTATGTTGCGTCGACACAGGTACTGGTACGAGTATGGGTGCGACAAATTTATAAAAGGTAGGGTACAGAGTCATGACTATGTAAACCTATTGAAATTAATAATTTACAAAAAAAAACAATTATTTTTTCATTCACATGTTATGAGTATTAAAAACTCGATGACCTTTTTTATGTTTCTTTTTCTATGTAGTTTATAAACTGGAAAACCACTCATTTTCTAATTGTTGAATAAATATCCATGGAGTGCATGACTACTGTTTTGAACTAAAACATGTAATATATAATTGAGTACACATTTGAATAAATATATGTGAATATTCAAAGAATGTCTAAGGTGTGTGTTGCTATATGATACATGATAGAAGTACCTACAAAGTATCTTAGGAGCATTGTTTTAAATATCCCCGACATGGCCCGATATATCCCCCGATATGTCCTGTTATAGGGCTTGCTATAACCGATATAGGCTTTAAATATCCTTTACTTTTTTTTGGCTATTTTTGGCAATATGTCCCCTATATGGCCGATATATCAGTCAATATGTGGACCGATATATCTTTTTATATAGCTTGTCGCAAAATAATATACCATGTTTGGCAATTTTTGGGTGAGATATCATGATTTCCTCATTATATCAAATGACATTTTGCCCTAAAAGTTAGATCAAATGTTGCAACGTTGATTTATATTTTTGTTTGTTTTACAAGGTTGATTAGTGATCCTAAACATATATTATTCACATTTAGTATGCTTAAATTTCATTACGTATGTTGAGATTACATTTTAATGCATTATACTATGTATGTAAACATCCGTTATGCAATTCCGATATTTACCATATATCCCCGATATTTCCCCGATATCCGTAATCAGATATGAATTTTGGCCATTTGATATTTCTCCGATATCCGATATTTAAAACCCTGTTAAGAAGTATATCTGTCTGGTACGTGTTGGGTACGAGTATAGCTTCATGATAGGAGTACCCAAGTAACATAGCTGGCGAGACACTAGAGAACTATCATCATAACTGGTTTTGCAAAATGAGCGGGTAAATGGTTTGAAAAGTGGCAGTTTTAAAATTATAAAATGTTATATTAGCCCCCATTGGAGGTTAGGATTATTCCATGAATATTTTCTTTCCTAATGTTAGGTTTGATTTTAATAGCTTAATTGGGATTGTTTGAAATTATGAAGATTCCTGGGGTTAGTTAAAAAAAGAATTTTGGTGGTATGTCAAAGAAACTCTTTTTTCTATTCATTTTGGCATTTTGCTGATTACAAACAAAGAAGAATTCTAAACACAAGATTATTGAAAGCGAATAGCGTCGCCTAGTGGTGAGACACTACTAAGGCTATGTGAGGCTATAGCCGCAAAATAGTGACAAAAAACGTAAAGTCAAATAGTAGTTTAATTTAAATGTGTATAAATATTCAAAAAATTTTAAAAAAAATTAGAAATGCTTATTTGATGATTTATAGAGGGGGTGGCAGAGGTGCAGGAGAGGCAATCAGAGGAGGATTTTGGGGGAGAGGGGGTTTTGGTGTTGAGGTGGAGTAGTCGGAGAGGGAGAGGTAGGGGTTGAGGTGGAGGATAGCCGGAGAGGGGTTTTAGGGTTTGAGGTGTTGTAGTTGGAGAGGTAGAGGTTGATGTGGAGCAGTTAGAGAGGGAGGACTAGGGTCACTGGTGACGAAGTTGGTGGAGGGAGAGAAGAGGCGATTAACAAGTTTTAGAAACTTAGGAAAAAACCTACTAGAGTTTTGCTAAGGGACTTGATAGGGCTAAAATTTTTGCTAAAAACATTAAAGAAATTTTGCTGAGTCAGCCGATATATGTTAGGGACATTCGCCCGAAAATTGCGAAAAAGCGGTAAAAGATATTGAGACTATAACGTTTAGTGGTAAGCATTATAAGAGGATATGTCGGTGGATATGTCAGCTATATCGAAGATATTTAGAAAAATGGTGTCATGTATTTACTTGAATCTAATTCAAGATGTTCTTATGTGCCTGCATTGAGTGTCTAAGCTTTTGCATCAATTCATTTGTTAGCTTTGAGCACCGTTATTCTCATTATGCCATTTCTTAAGATCAGTTTTTACACGTTCAACAGGTCATGCGTGTACATCTTTTGTTCTATTACTGCATCGCCTACCAAAAAGATGAATTTTAGTAGTACAGGGAATTAGTTCTAAACTTATTTGAAGAATCTTTAAGAATAATATCTTTTCAAGTTTTGCAAGTTTTATTTTGGGGAAAATGCTTTGACCCCTATATCTATACTACTTATAAAAGAGAAACCCATGTCAAAACTTTTGATTTCCTATATTGCCCTTTCAAGTTTTGATAATTTATAATATATCATTAGTTATAATTAATCCTTAAATAACTATCCATAATTCTTTATTAAATATTTAAATGCACCTCCTACTCTTCCCCAAAATATTTAAATATTTGGTCAAGAATATAATTATTATCGACAGTTTATAATCTAACACTACATGCAAATGCTTATATCTATATTTAGAATTTTAGAGCGTCAATGTTCACTTTTCGAGCTACCTTACTTGCATGTCAGGGGGGCTTTGCAACCTGCTCTACTATCTAAGAGGTTAAAACGACTGCATTGGAGGGATATCAAAATTTAATCCATAGGAGAACCAGAGTTTTGTAGTTATTAAATGCACCTCCTACTACTCCCCAAAATATTTGGCCAAGAATATAATTATTATCGATAATTTATAATCTAACACTACATGCAAATGCTTATATCTATATTTAGAATTTTAGAGCGTCAATGTTCACTTTTCGAGCTACCTTACTTGCATGTCAATGCTTATATCTATATTTAGAATTTTAGAGCGTCAATGTTCACTTTTCGAGCTACCTTACTTGCATGTCAGGGGGGCTTTGCAACCTGCTCTACTATCTAAGAGGTTAAAACGACTGCATTGGAGGGATATCAAAATTTAATCCATAGGAGAACCAGAGTTTTGTAGTTATTAAATGCACCTCCTACTACTCCCCAAAATATTTGGCCAAGAATATAATTATTATCGATAATTTATAATCTAACACTACATGCAAATGCTTATATCTACATTTAGAATTTTAGAGTGTCAATGTTTATTTTTCGGGCTACCTTAATTGGATGTCGGGGGGCTTTGCAACCTGCTCGATTCTCTAAGAAGTTAAAACGACTGCATTGGAGGGATATCAAAATTTAATCCATGGGAGAATCGGAGTTTTGTAGTTATTAAATGCACCTCCTACTCCCCAAAATATTTGGTCAAGAATATAATTATTATCGATAGTTTATAATCTAACATTACATGCAAATGCTTATATCTACATTTAGAATTTTAGAGTGTTAATGTTCACTTTTCGAACTGCCTTAATTGCATGTCTGGAGGCCTTTGCAACATACTCTACTCTCTAAGAAGTTAAAACAACTGCAATGGAGGGGCATCAACGATTAAGCCATGGGAGAACCAGAGTTTTTTAGACACCAACTAAGGTAGAGTTAGAGAATGATGTACCATATTATTCATTTCTTTGGGTCTTATGAGCACCAACCGCTAATGAGTCCAAAAGTTTCAGCTCAAGACTATAATTTCTTCGCAATCAGTCACACAATAGTATAAGATAATCAAATAATTATAATAATAAGATGTAGAGTCTAGACTTTTAAACTTCAATTTGAATCAATGCATAAACTATAAACCCAATTAACTAACAAACAATCTTTTTCATTTTCTCTGTATATAACTTCTCTTTCATCTCTCGTGTATAAATTAGCTCATACATTTTCTTCCGCTCACCATAACACCTACTAAGTCAAATTCATACAATTATAAAAGAAAAGCTCAATCAAAACTCCACTTAGATTAGAATGAGAAATTTAGCAGAGCGTAAAATGTTGACTTCTTTTGAGGATCAAATTTCCTCAAGCACATATTAGCATGGTATGTTCCTCTATAATTCAATTAGTATTTTGAAAATGAGTTTCAAAACATAGTTATTGTAGAAATGAGTCAATTTCGTACGGTCTAAATTGCTATAGTCAATTTGGTGATTAGTTTTCTTTTTGAAGACATTGATATCACAAAAATTTCAGAGCATACACCATCCAGCTCACACTTTGTCACCGTCATGTATGGCCAAAATAACCAGTCTGTCATGGACATCCACTCTATATATGGAGGTTGTTCACCATCAGAAAGAGGTAACTTGATCTAACCTAACAAAAGACTCTCGGAGCAATTTAAATCTTCCTTCTGATCTAAACTAAGAGATGATCATCTCTAATAGACATAGCATAAGAACATACAGTTCTAAACTCTGCTCGAGCTTAAGTTCATCAGCTGACTTGATCGTCGGAGGTACCACAGGGGAACTAATCCCCGTCCTCTTACGGGTTTGTTCTTCTGGTCTTTGCAGCGGATCCGGATATCCTAGTTCAAGAACCAGGCATAAAGTCGAAGAAGGGAGCGGGTCCTCCATCATCCTTCATCTCCCCAA